AGTTACTGTTTAATGTCTATAAGCTCTCAGGAGCAGGGAATCACAACCCTTACCACGTACAGTTGGCAGCAGAGCCAGTATTCCAAGTTGTTAAAAGAAGTCAAGGAGGGCTAAAAATGGAATCTACAGATTCCTTTCCAAAGCTTCATACATACATGGACAGGCTGTTTCTGTGCATAGAACTCTTTACTTTGCCTGGGCACACCACAGGAGAAAATGGTTCTCTCATCATTTGAGTTGCCCGTCTTTTTAATTTAGAGGTGTGTGACATCCATTATGTACATGCACAGTTCCAGATGGCCTAAGCTAAACTGTCTGGAAGGAGAGGAAAACCAGAGATTGCAGATACCGCCTTGCTGATCTTACCATTGTAAGCACCACACTGCTTCATCCTGTAACCCATTTTTTTTTTTGCTTTTGAGGATCTGTTGGTATCTAAAAACCTCCTTGCTTATACTATAACTTCAGCTGTTATACTACTTCAATTTTGCAAACACCTATCAGCCATTTCCTCAGCACCTCCTTTTATTTTCATTTAGTTCTGGATAGCTTGACCTCTTATTATAACATTTGGAAAAAGTGTTTTCCAAGCACTCTGCATGTATGCCTCTGAGCACAGATAATGCTAAGAGATATTTACTGCTCATTTATACTTTATCCTTCAATACCATAAGGTTTTTGATAAGCTGTCCAGGTTCCAGTGAAAGACATTTGGGGATTAAACTGTTACATAAGAGGTTATTCAAAAGGACAGTGTATACTGGGCAGTCAAATGTGAGGGGAAATATTGCTTCATATGATTGCACAAAGCATTTAACTATTGTAGCTGTCAGTCTTGTAGCCAGTCATCTGATACTTTGATGCAATTGTCTCTGAATCAACCATAGAACTATCAGATGAATGTTTTTGATAAATTAGTAATGGTAAGAGGATGACAGCAATCTGGGGTTGATGGATTTAGGGAAATTCTTCTAATAATCCTAAGAGGTACCTAATGAGCAGCTTCCACAAATGATTCCATTCACGGAGTGGTTGCTGGTGTTTGGAGCCTCTTGACTGAACTACAACACCAGATTGAGTGTTAGAGGTGACTGCTAAGTTTTCCCAATGATAAGGTAGTTAAGAGTCTTCATCAAATATCACATTTAGAGCTCAATGGATGTGACACCAAACATACAGAAATGACTAGGTTTATTTTTTTCTAAATTGAATAACTCAAGACATATTCAGTCCTCATGGAGGACCAAGAGTCATCTCTTTTCTCAATGTTTGCTGGATTTCTAAAGGGCTGGTTTGAAATGTGTGCTAATCGTCCATTAACTATAAAGTAAAATAAGTACAGTTGTAAGAAGAAAAGGATTCATGGTAGCCTTCTTCCTTAGGTTCAATATCAGATACACTTTGGGCTATTTATGATAACTTTCCTACAGGTGAAAACATTAGCTTACATGAAGATTTTAATAGTTGTTGTTTAATTCTCTATCATTAATATGAATAAAAAGCACCATTTCCCCTGAAATTGTACCAAAAACTGTGAGCTGGGAGGTCAAGGATAGTTTCTTGATCACTAAGGTCCATGATCTTGTTTTTGAAACACTGAAAGTTGAAATATTGTATGTATGTGATAGAAATGATAAAGAAACAAATTGCCTAGATGTATAGAAAGGGTAACTCTTTGCTTTTAGAAACAATGAATATGAGTTTTAGATAGTCTATTCCTTATTTTTCTTGAAAGTCTTAGTTTTCCATTACAGATGCATTTCAAAATTTACACTTAAGAAAAATTCTGCTATAAAGTCAAAAGGACCCCACATTGAAAAGAAATAAACAAGAGTGCTTCCAGAGCCAGACACTAAAGTTGTTTATATGGAAGATGGTCTTAAAGGCTGCAATAAGCAAATATTCTAGACTTTAAATTATATGAACGGCATTGCTCAATTGTTATTTCTGGTTGTAGATGTAAAACTTGGGCCTAGTTAACAAGAAGGAAAATCACTTTATCTAGCATTAAACATGGACTTGGTGCATTAAGTTTATTTCACTTTAAAAAAACAGAATTTGTTCCTCTTTGACAAATAGGCCTATGCCTCATTTCTAAGTTTCTTTCTTTATTTTTTTTATTGTGAAAATACTGTACAGAGGGGTTACAATTACATGGGCAAGATAATGAGTACATTTCTTATCAAGCATTGTAGCCTCCTCCTTTGTTCCCCCTTCCCATCCCATCCTGCCCCCACCCCCACCAACCCTCCCTCCCACCAAAGTTGTAAAGTTCGTTTTTGACATAATGACTTGCACGTCTCATTGTTGCAATGGGTCCACCTGTATGTGATCACTTTCAGAGGAATATGAACACTTACTATATTAATTTGTGCTAGACTTGTAATGATGAAATAAAATGTTTAGTTCGTCAAACGTTACCTTAGAGGTTATAGTGTCTCTTTTGAGAAGGCACGTGAAAAATATCCAGCAACATTAGCACAGAATGTGAAACTATTTGCTTTTGTAGAAAAACAAATTCACAGTCATATATTATTTCCTTAATATCTTACCCAGAAAGCAGTTAGAGAGAAACTCTACCAAGGATTTGAGGCTCTTATCTCACATAGAAAAGCTATTCTCCTGTGAATGTTACATGTGGGATTTCTTGCAGATAAAACAATAGAGTCAAAGTTTATTATGCATTACATTCACTTTAATGACTACACAAGCTTTCTCTTTGTGATAACTGTTTTCATCTTGGTCACAATGAATTTGGATAAAATAAGGGAAATTATATCATACTAATGTAAGTGTGTCACATAAGCAAGAACTTTGTCCAGAAAATACTACATCTCTCTCAGTACTGTCATCTTCCAATCACACAGAGAAAACAGGGCTGTCAGGAGAGGTGCAGGTGTCTGCAAGCTGGATGGACCTCTCTTCCAGAGACTTGCTATGTGTCCTTCAATGGCAAAGTCTTTTCTCTCTCACTAACTATTCTCTTACATCATCTTTTCAATAAGTACCTCATCTTGCAGTGAGTAGAGATTGATTTTATTAGCGCTCAAAACCACATTTGGTATTCAGTAAGTATCGAGGAAAGACAGAGTTTGGGGTTAGCAATGTGGTTCACCCATGCTTTGCCAAATTTTATAGGAAAATGACACTGCTGACAGGTCACCCCCCAGGAAAATGCAATCTGACACTACTGGCACTACTGTGTACTGTGTTGTAGTCAGGAATTTCTGGGGGATGATACCTAATCATGCCTGACTCTACTACATTCAACACAAAAGAAAACCCTAAGTGTATTGCCAGAATACTTACTAATAGTGTTATTAATACAAGATAAATAAGGTTAACATTAAATAATAATTCTTTTTTTTTCTGTCAGTCATGGGGCTTGAACTCTGGGCCTGGGTGATGTCCCTCAGCTCTTCAGCTCAAGGCAAGCGCTCTACCACTTGAGCCATAGCACCACTTCCTGTTTTCTGCAGTTTATTGGAGATTAGAGTCTTATGGACTTTCCTGCCCCAGGCTGGACTTCAATCCTCAGATCTCAGCCTCCCAAGTAGCTAAGATTACAGGTGTGAGCCACTGACAACCGGCTTTAAATAATTCTTATATACTGTCTATGTGCTCCCTTGAACAAATGTATTTATTTTGTAGTAGTAAAATATAGGTAACACAAAATTTACTATTTTAACCATTATTTTCTGTGCTGGTACGGGGGCTTGAACTCAAGACCAGAGTACTGCCCTGTAACTCTTTCTTGCCAAGGCTAAGCACTCTAGCAATTGCTCCACTTCCAGCTTTTTGATGGTTAATTAAAGATAAGATCATAGACATTCCTGCTTGGACCAGCTTTGAACCACGATCCTCTGATCTCAGCCCTCTGAGAAGCTAGGATTACAGGAACGAGCATCTGCACCCAGTCATTTTAACCATTTTTAAGGGTACAGTTGAATGGCTCTAAGGGCATTGATCCCATCTCTACCATCCATCACCAGAACGTTTCATCTTCACAAACAAAAACTCTGTACTCATTACACACTAACTCCTCATGCTCTCCCCTCAGGTCCCTGACAACCTTCACGTAAGCACAATTCTACAGTATATGTGTTCTTGTGTGTAGCATACTTGGGTTTAGGTTTAACCATGCCATGGCATGGGTCAGAATTTCTTTTTAAGGCTGAGTAATGTGTTAATGAATGTACATGCTACATTTTTGTGAATATGCTCCTCTACCCATGAGCATTTGGGCTTTTCAAGCATGGGTTGTGTTTTTCCTATGTTAATTCTTACTGTAATCTTTACAATGACTCAATGGGATCATTAGCTTTACTCTCTAGCCCCACTTTATGGTAAGAAGGTTAACATAAAGGAGTTACATGAATGTTCAAGTTTCTACAATGAAAAGGCTCTGGAGCCATTATCTACCCCTTGCTCACCCACGGTTGGGTAGATCCATAGTGCCTGTTTATATCATTGTGCTATCCCTCCTTTCAAATAATTTAGAAATCTAAATCTATATATCTCTTAGAAATCCACTTAGACAACTCCCAGAGACCAGGTTTCTAATGGAATCTGTGCAGATCTTAGAAAGTTCCAAAGATTATTCTATTAAACAACTGTTCCCTTTAGCAGTTCATTTATACAGGATCCCAATACTACAAAAAAAAATTTAGTGCTTTAATCTAGTACTAGTCTGAGATCAAGTTTATCTAGCTAATCCTCCTATAATAGGAGATATATCTATGTATATATGTGTGTATATATGTAGAGATATGATAATAACAACATGCTACATTTACCCATTAGTACTATTTCTCCTCTCCTTCAGCCATTGTTCAGATTCCTCCAATTGACTTGTATTATTAACTTAAAAAGAATCTGATGCATATTTTCATTTCTAGCAAGGCCAGCGTGGACAGACATACAAGCCATCCATGATTTAGGCTACATGGGTCAGGGTTCAATGAGGACATGATGCTGACCATCTGCTTGTTTTCTTGTAGAGCTCCAGGACTGCACGCTCAGAGGAGGACCCGGATGGCCTCTGGGATGCCTGGGGCCCATGGAGCGAGTGTTCCCGCACCTGTGGTGGAGGTGCCTCTTACTCCCTGCGACGATGCCTCAGTAGCAAGTAAGTCTGGCCCCCACTGGGGGCTTCCTGAAATCCAGAGGTAGCCCATGTGAGGAGTACTTCCATGGTTGGGATGATGGTGAACATTTTGTTGTTCACAAATCTAGATGAAAGGAATGGGAAGGAAGAGAGGAAGAGAGAAAGTACAAAGTATCAAATCTGAAGGAGTTTGTCTTGTGTTCTCTTGCTAGGCATTAATATCCTGCTATGTAATAAATATAGAACTTATTTATTAAACAAATTTAATTGATTTTACATTAGATCTGGAAGGAGCAGCTTTTAAAACAATTGTTGTAAAGGTGATGTATAGAGGGGTTACAGTTACATAAGTCAGGAAATGAGTACATTTCTTTTGAACAGTGTCACCTTGCTTTCTCCCAGTTTTACCTCCAGACCCCTCCCACAAATTGTATAGTTTATTTTCCACATAGTGTCTAGTGCATTAATTTCAATTTACTGTTTTGTTTTGTTGATATCAGTACTGAGGCTTGAACTCTGAGCTTTGTACTCTTGCTTGGCTTTTTCATTTATTCTACCACTTGAGCCGCACTTCCAATTATTTGAAATAGTTCTAGAAATACTAGCTCCATAATGAATTGTACTTTTTTGCCACCTGGATGATTTTGATGACAATCATATCATGATTGGTATTAACAGTATACTGAATGCTTGTTGGATTACCAAGTATTTCACAAATGGATGATATGTTGAGTTAATAGCCAGATGTTTCTTATGTACCTGCAGTTCAAAACTGATGGGACTTTTCATATAATAAAGTTGAGAAGAAGAGAAACTTCAGTGGAAACTTTAACATTAATAGTGAGAGGGGTAATGATAGAGTTGGAGGTGGCAAATGGCTTCAAGGCTGAAAGGAAAGAGCCCTGAGACCTTATTATAGGAAGGTTTTACTAAGAGTACTCATAATTCACAACTGATTATTGAGTTATGCACTATATGATTAAATTTATGTCCAAACTATAAAATTAGAAGCAGCACCATGTTAGTATTTTTTATAAAAAGTTTTATTTGACAGTGAAAAATGTTAAAGGGAGCAAGAAGGAGATTTGATCAAAATCATTGATCATTACAAAACATAAAAGCAAAAACAAAAACATTTACAAATGCTGATTCTCTTAAACTTTTTAAATACATTTTTATTGTAAAGATACTGTACAGAGGGGTTACAGTTACATGAACAAGGTAATGAGTCAATTTCCTTTCAAGCATTGTTACCCCTTCCTTTGTTTTTCCCCTACCATCCCTTTCCTCCCCACCTCTCCAACTCCTTCCTCCCCACCCCAAAATTGTAAAGTTCATTTTCAACATAGTATCTTATACAACTCCTTGTTGTTGTTTTTAATGTACTTATAATGTACTATGTGATTTTTTTGTTTCTTTTGTATGTTCTTCCCCCATAATATAATCCATGTTTTCACATTATTTGATTCCAGTGCCCTGCATCTTGTATATACATTTTTTTTTCTAATTTGGGGAAGGGAAGGGAAATAACAAAATGCTAAAATAAGGATACAGGATGACCCATTGTAACAATAAGATCTCTTAAATTTTTATAAACAAACACAGGAAGTAGTGAGAGGCAGGTTCATGTGTCAGCTTGCTTTTAATAAGAGTGAGATTTTTTAAAAAATCAAGGCCTGAGTCTCATTCATGAGCGTTTCCCTGTACAGGGGTATCATCATGTCTAAGAGATAGTAGGAGCCTAATAATTGACTCATCACAGAATCTTTTGAGATTTAGCGATCATTTTGGTTCCATACAAGCCTTGTTGGAAATGTTGTATGAGAACCATGGCCACAGTCATAGCCTACAAGATACCAGGTTAACTTTGGTGATCTGCATTGAAGATAGGTCTATTGCATTGGCTCCACTAGCAAGTTTGTTTTTCTTGTTTTGGGTTAACTTTATATTATCCAGATCCTTGAGCTGATAAAGGGAGAATAGACCTTTTGATCTTCTGATTTACCTGTTTTCTTCATCTCAAACAATAATAACTTACTAAACCTGTAGTGCATGATGGCACAAAATGATAGTATAACTGATAATAATCATATATCACTAAGTCAAAAATGCCCTTGCTATCCGGTTTTCTCAAATTATCATCCTTGAATATCCTACTGGATTGTACCAAATACATGTCTTACAAAAGTTTGTAAGAAGTATAAGGAAGTTTTCCTATTTTCTGCTTGATTGTGGTGTTTTATACATATATATGTATATGTATATTATGTGTATATATATATGTATGGTGAGAGACAGGTAAGCAATTTGAGGGATAAGTGTGAAACTTCTGTCATTTCCCAAGTAATTAAATGTTGATACCATAAAATTTAAGAAATATTAGTTTTGCTACTTAGTAAGTTAAGGTATTGTTATTAGGATTTTAGTATGCTGCCATAGTAGGTAACAGTTGTCCATGGTTTACAATAGATTTCTAAAGATTATAATATATTGGTGAAATAAAATATAAATTCTTAAATAATAGACATGGGGATATATATTCCCCATTGATTTTTAAATATTGGGAAAATATATTCATAAAACTCATAAGAGCCTGGACAAAAATTTTAAAAAGGGAAAGAGAAATGGGCCACCCATTCTTTAAGAATCTGAAAAAGAAAAAAGCCACTCAGAAGATGGCATTTCCAAAATTATCAAGAATATAAATAAATATTAATATATACCTTTATTTCTTGGAAGCTGGTACTTAATACGGGCAATATATTATGCACATGGAAATATGTTATAATTCGGAAAGAATTCTAGTCATTCTTTAGCAAATATCCATTTGTTACCATCTTTAAACCTTCAGCAATCTCAGTAGAAATTAAATATACATTTTTTTAATCATGAAAGGAAGGTTTCTGTGTCTTGTCATATCTTTGACACCATTTTTACTAGGGTTCTAGTTAGGAGGTCAGTTTAGGTGAACTGTCCTGATTCTGATCCTCATGAGACAAGCAAACTATAGGTTAGCTCAGTCATTCTGTTTGGGATTGTAGTGATGTTACTGTGAACCTCATCCTATAGTAGGACTTCATTTGCTTCTTATACCCTATGGACTTAACATCTTCCAGCTGCAGATTTTAAAAGGAAAAAGAAAATCCTAAAACAGAGTTATCGCTGAACATATGATAGATTCTAGAAAATCTTCATGTCCAATGCAATCTAAAGATCTACAATGACTAAACACTCTTGTGGTAATACCACATATGTTGCTATAGATGATTGAATGTCCTAAGATGTTATAATTCTGATTTTAGAATAATAACTCTTACATATACACTTAGTTTTTAGATTTTCATTAGATAGTTGGAATGGTTTCTACAGCACTTCAAGAACCATGTATATGTTGTGGTTTTCAAAATGAAGCATATATATATATATATGCATGCATGCATACATACATACATACATGCATGCATGCAAATGTACACATGTATATTTGTGTGTATGGTACTGGACTGTGATAGAAAATGTAGGCCAGTTCAGAAATGTCTGAAAGCTGCTGCTACAAAGAATTCACTCTGGCAAGAGCTCTCTCTGGACAGTGGTCAGGCCGGCCACTCACTCTCCATGATCAAAATTCAGTTTTGCTTTGCCACAGATTATTTTCTTTGGAATCAGAGACTCTCAAATATTTGTATGTGTCATTGGCTTTCTATTCCTGCCACTCTATATCACTTCACAAGTTGTATAAATAGGATTTTAACTTCTGTATTTTTTCTGTGTATTGAAGGGGTGGAACAAGTTCCCTTTGTTACCTAAAGAGAACCAAACATTCATTTGGAGGAATTCTATTTCTCTCCCTATGTAGTGTGAATATATCTGCTCAGGATCTTAGAAGGAAATACAATAATCTTCACCATTCCTTTGTTCTCCCAATAGTGCCTAGGAAGCTATTTGTTTTCCTGATTATTTTCTTTGATTATTAATAGCAACTGCTGGAGTTACCACATTTCAAAAAGCTAAACTTTCATCAGTCACTAGTAATAGACCTAGACTCAAACTTTAAACTTGTATTTTTGTATAAAAATTTAATTATCATTAAAAATCAATTATTTTTAGTGCTAATGGATCATGCCTATAATCCTACCTACTCAGGAGGCTGAGATCTGAGGATCACGATTCAAAGCCAGCCCAGGCAGAGAAGTCTCTGAGATTCTTATCTCCAATTAATTACCAAAATCCAGAAGTAGAGCTGTGGCTCAAATAATCAAACACAAACCTTGAGCAAAAAAAGGGAAGCAATAGCAAGAAGCTCTAAATTCAGTCCCCAGTACTGTGCATGTGCATATGCACACACACACACACACACACACACACACACACGTACATGTATACACACAAATAGATAACTATGAGCCTTAAGAAATATTAAGCAAGCTATAAAACAAAATATGTTAATAAAATGAATTCTAATATTATTTCATTAATATTTATCTTTAATTAAATCTAATTACTTGAATATGGTCCTAGATGTGTCCCTGGGATGTATTTAAAATGTACATGATGAGGAGGTGGGGGAAAAACAAAGGAGGAGGTAACAATGCTTGATAGGAAATGTACTCATTACCTTACTCATGTAACTGTAACCCCTCTGTACAGTATTTTTATAATAAAAATACATACTAAAAATGTAGCTCTTTGAGAATTTGTTGTTGGGGGACTTAATTTTTTGAGTTCCAAGTACATTTAGATATGAGACCCTTGTCCATTGCTAGTGAAGCTCTTCTCCCAATCCGTGGGCTTTCTTTCTTTCTTTCTGTTTTTTAAATTTTTATTGTAAAAATATTGTACAGAGGGGTGACAATTACATGGGCAAGGTAATGAGTACATTTCTTATCAAGCATTGTTGCCTCCTCCTTTGTTTCCCATTCCCAACCCTTCCCATCTCCCACCCTGCCCTGCCCCATTCCCCCCATCCCTCCCCATCCCCCACCAAAGTTGTAAAGTTCATTTTTCGACATAACGATTTGTAC